ATCTTGGATTCAATCCTTTTGTCAACTTGTTTTCTGTCAGTTAACACAGGTTTTGTTTTCCTTTTTTGGAACTGATTGATCGTAGGCCTCAATGACCTCAAAAAAAGCATTATTTGTGGAAAATTTTGGCAATATTCACTCAAAAACTAAGGTCAGTCAGTACAAAAAGAAATACAAAACTTGTGCTAACTGACAGAAAACAAGTTGACAAAAAGACTGAAACCAATATTTGGTAATAATATATCATAACAATAAATTTATAGGTGATGTTTTTTGTAAGCCGGTCATTTGTGACTACGAACATCACAAGGGTAACACAGTGGAAAGAAATATCCCAGAAAAGTACAACAATTCTTATTATTGATTTTTTTGGAAGTTGTTTTACCCTTTGTGAGCAAAGTCAGTAAGTTTTAATCCAATGTGATAACCGAAACACAACATGAAAGTTAAGCATACGTGCTAATAAAACATTAAAATAATATATACCATCTCTATCATAGGCCTGTCCACTGAACGCATGCCCTGTGTCAGCACCTGGCGTCTCCAGCCAGCAGGTGTGGGAGTCTTTCTCTCAGTGCTTCACGCCGGCTGTACGTGAAGTGGTCGAGTTCGCGAAGGGCATTCCGGGCTTCCAGGAGCTTTGCCAGCATGATCAAGTCATGTTGCTCAAAGCAGGCACTTTCCAGGTACTGATTACACATTTCTCCTAAAGTTTACTTCCCCTTCTGTACTATTAAAGGTGAAGTGTGTCATTTCTAGGCCACTAGCAGCACTAAACCAAACAGATTTCCCAATCAGCCTAACTCAAACTCACGCAATTGGTTAAGCCACAGTTTGACATGTCAGATCACTCAAAACAAACAGAGATAACATCACAGTGTTAACACCCTTAGGGACATCAACCTACAAATGATGAAAATATGCTGTCTTTTTACAGGTGCTTATGGTGAGGTTTTGTTCACTGTTCAACCACAAGGAAAGAACAGTGACTTTCCTGAATGGGCAGACGTACCCGCTGCTCACCCTTAGGGGTCTGGGCATGGGCTCCTTGCTGGACACCATGTTTGAGTTCAGTTCCAAGCTGAGCTCTCTGGGCCTGGAGTCAGATGAGATGGCTCTCTTTATGGCAGTGGTGCTGGTTTCTGCAGGTAAGAGCAACACAGGAATCAAATTAATCAGTGCTGTTTGCTAAGGCATGCATCACTGTTATTATTGCTAATGCTTAGTGTTGAAGATGTGAATAATCCACTAACATTGAGCTAATTATTTAAAATAGGGATGCTCATTAGTGCAATATTACAATTCTGATTCTGATAAACTGATTATTTTTTTTATGTTTTAGCAGATAACTGATAAATAGATAAATGCTTTATATAAATTTGAAACTCAAATAGAAGTCTGTTTAAACACAAATTGCATGTTAGTACAAACAAACACTGACTTTCACTGTTTTGGGTCCAAAACAACACTGACTTTCATTGTATGATGAAGGAAGAAAAAAAAGACTAAATATACTAAATTAAATTAATTTACTTATAATATACTAAATTAATTTTAGTATTTAAAAAAAAATGTTTAATTAAAATACAATTGTTTTAAATCAAACATAAAATACTAAAAAATCAATCACTAAAAGTAATGTATTCATAATCTTCGTTATCATAAAAGCTTATATTGTATTCATAATCTTTATAATTTATTTATAATATTTATTTACATTTTTTTCTGTTGGTTTTTTGATAATAACTTGTTCTTCATTTATCCACAGATTGCTCTGGTATTTTGGATACAGTAGCTGTGGAACAGTTACAGGAAGCACTCATCCGAGCGCTGCGCACATTAGTCACCCGTCGCCACCCTGACGACAACTCTGTTTTTCCCAAACTGCTCCTGCGTCTGCCAGACCTGCACACCCTCAACAACCTTCACTCCGACAAGCTGCTGGCCTTCCGCATCGATCCCTGAGCTATCACTCGCTGCAGCTGGAACTCAACCACCGGCCAATCAGAGAACACCTTTCCTGGTTAAGAGAAAGACTGCTAATTTAGAAGAAGAGATGTGGAGCATGTTCCCATAGGAACCATTCGTTATTATGTGTGTTAATGAGAAACACAATGAACAGATGGCTCTCAGCAAGCTCTAAACAAGACTATATCTCCATTTAAGCTTTCGCGGATCATTTTCATGCATGCATTGCCCTTCTGTTCAGCTCGCCTCGAGAGCATTGTTGATTATATTTATCCGAGGGAACGTTGCGCCAGTCATATCATCATAAATAAGCTTACACAGAACTTTTGAAGACCAAAAACGGGTCATTCCTCTGAACTGCCTGCACACTGAAATACACAGTCTTTAGTCAAGTACACCATGTATTCAGTAGAAAGGTCATTTTAGGGAAAATTTAAAGCCAACTGTGTGAGTGTATGTGCCTGTGTGTTTGAGAAAGGGAAAGAAATACCATGTACATAAGCCATAGATATCACTTATACAGTTACATCACATTAAAACTTCAGTTTGAGACAAGAAAAATACATTTGTCACCTGTGTTAGTGTGTAACATTTAATTACACAAGATTTACTGTATCTACAACAACTCTAGTTACCATTTAAGTTCCTTGAAAATGAAAAGAAACTGATTTTAAATGTCATTTCACTTATGAAAACAGATAAAACCGTCATATTTGTTCACTTTTTTTATTATCATTGTCATGCTGAATGCAGTATGTCAAATTTCCACACATTCTCCTTTATGAATATATCTGAATCTAGGGATACAAAACCAGCATTCTCTCCTACGCATGTTATGTTTTGTAGTTTTCTGTTGTTTTCTTACTGTAAATATTGCACATTTACACTGACTGAACTGCCTGTTCAGAGAAAGAGGGATACGCAGTGGTGTGTTTGACTGAGACGGGGCGTTTGGTGCCTTGTAAGAAATGGACTGTTCATCTGTGTGTCTTGAGAAAGAGCCCCTGAACTTCTGGCACCAGCACAGTATCTTTACAGCCTTTACTAAGATCACAAAGCATGTCAAAAAGGCATTTTGGGCTGCCATGTGGTTGATTTGATCAGCTGAGTCGATTGTTATTATGGCTGGTAAATTAAACTTATTCAATCATATGGTAATGTATATTTTGTAAATTGATTTCTTCTGTAGAACCAATATAAATATGAGATTATCTATTCTGATGTCTTCTGTTTTTGTTTTTTTTGTTTTGTTTATATATATATATATATATATATTTGTGAAATAGTTTTCCAATTTAAAATAATTGTTCTATTTGAATATATTTCAGTGATGGCAAAGATAAATTTTTAGCAGCCATTAGTCCAATCTTCAGATCCTTCAGAAATTATTCTAATATTGATTTTTTTTTTTTTAATTAGCTTTATTTAGCTTATTTTTGATTAAATAAATGCACCTTGGTGCGCAAGAAACATATTTAAAAAAACACACTATAAAATATGAGTTATTCTAAACTTATGATCGGTAGTGTATATATTGCTTGCTGACTAAATTCCAAAAAAGAATAATGAAAAATTATTTATGGTATATTGCAACACCAATGAATGCTTTCTTCTTTCTAAAGATAAACCAAGTAGACAAGCCATGTAGACTGTCCTGCATTTCCCCAGTAGACTTTATATCAGGAGCTTTTCAGAGTGATGTAGAAATAATTGTAACTGGCCTGAAACTGTCAGTCACGTTTTGGTTGTCAAACAGACTCAGTTAATCCACTTTAATTCAGGACACTGACAAGCTACTATGCAGAATCAGTTAAAATTTATGCATGTAGCCAGATTAAATTAAATTTCTTTAAATTCGTATGCTTTAAAAACGTATTTGTAGGACCTATCATATTTTCGTGGTATTGTTGTACAACACTGAGAGACATAAGAGATGTCTGTCATCCAGAAAATTACTCAAAGCAGCGCGTTACATAGTAAACAACTGTGTTATAGTGACATCGTGTGGAAATCCGCGGTAGCGCAGTTAAAAATCAAAATATGCATAAGATAAAACCTATGACTATTAATGTAGTCATGCTTACGTGTTATTTACGTTTGTGTCATCAACGCTGGACACTTTTGCTTTAGAAAAACAAACTCTCCAAAAACACAGTTTTCACTCTTCCACTAGTTTAATGTGGCAGCTAGCAATGTACAACAGTGTGTTATACACATGCTAATCTGTGTTTTTTCCTGAAACGTTATTTGCTCCACCAAGTCATTATATCTGAAATTATTGTGTTTGATGGTGGACATGGTGGTGGTGGATGACATTTTTTTGACATGTTTCAAATTCTTGCTAATGCTAAATTTATAGCTAGCATATACGCATCCTAAATAGGCGTAACGTTACACAAAATTGATAACGTTTACACACTTTTTGAATATTTTGTCAAAATACTTTTTTAAAACGTGCATGATATAAATATTCTGCTTACTCTTACCTTAATTTTAGTTTTCTTCATTAATTTCATCATATCCTTCACATTCATCTCAAAACACAAGTCCATTTTGAAAAAGAAAAAAAAAAAAAAAACTTTATTAGTATCAAAATCTCGTGAATAAATATTATTATTATTTTACAATGAAATTATTATTATTTTACAAGAGTTGGTTGTATTTTTAAGATTACAAATTCTGGGACAAGCGAAATATAAAATGTATAATAAGGCACTGAATAAAAGATGAAGTCGTGGTAAAAAGTTCCAGGACAGTTTTAGTATAAAACTTCGCAGTTTAATACATTTTTAAAATATTTTTCTTATAACTAAACCTATAAGAACAAGAATAAAGAAGAAGAAAAAAAGATTAATCCAGCGTTGCTTGGAAAACTTGATGGAGCGTCCTGGTACATACCCTAATTAATATTTATATTGTCAGCCTGCTTAGTGACCAATCAGAGAGCGGTACTCTGTGAACGCAGCGATACGTAATTAATATTCATAAGCTAAGCGCAGGCGTCCTTCGTATGCTTTGCGTCATTATGTTTGAGTAACCCGGAAACACACACGGATGTTGTAGAGAAGATAGGCGTATATTGAAAGCATTTATGCTTTAAAATCTTCTGAAACCATGGCATAGAAAAGGTCATTTATCTCCCAAAATCAGTGGAGACTTTTCAAACTCTTAAGGAGAATGTTAAGAGTAAGGTAGGTGTATTTAAAGCGCTTAACCCAACGGTTAATGTTAAATGTTAGTCAACAAGTCAAGTTGAATTTCAAAAATAGCATTAGTGCTTTTAAAGCATAATTTAGTGTTATTGGCCTGTTGCCATGAATTAATAATGACTGTGTGGCTTATTTCAGAAGTCAAGGTGTCAGTCTGTCAGGATGATTTCTCCATTGGGTTTATCCAGCAGTTGATATTTTTTGAATGTTACATGATGAAGAATGTCACTTTTGGTAAGCCATTTTTTTGGTAGAAAACAATTCTTCTTAACATTTAGTTGATATGTAGTTCCCATTACACTATTTTTCATAATTAATATTTATTCCCTTCTTGCAGATGAACCATGAGTTTCACTGGACCAAGAGCTGTATGAGGATGCTGATTTAGGATTTGAGACTTCTTCAGTCACCTTTAGTCCATCATGTTTGTGACAGCATACCTTGCATTTGTAGTCTTGGCGGGACTGTGCGTGACTTTAGAGATCACAGCCCGCCGTCTCAACTCATCCCAGGCCACACAGACAGCCATCGCCAATCCGGCATTCAGACAGTTCCAGAAGCTCTTTCTGAAGGCGTATCTCCTGGCCCTCTGGGCAGACTGGCTGCAGGGACCTTACCTTTATAAACTCTACCGACATTACAACTTCCTGGAGTCTCAGATCGCCATTCTGTACGTATGTGGCCTTGCTTCTTGCGTGCTATTTGCCCCAGTGGCCAGCTGGCTACCGCAGTTTCTGGGACGGAGACAGACGTGTCTCCTCTTCTGCCTGGCTTATTCTGTCTGCTGCATTACCAAGCTGTCACAAGAATATTTCATGCTCATACTCGGACGTGTTTTAGGAGGCCTGTCCACCTCTTTGCTAACCACTGTGTTTGAGGCCTGGTATGTGCATGGCCACGTTGACGTCCATGACTTTCCCAAAGAATGGATTCCTGTTACCTTTGGTAAAGTCGCAGATTGGAATCACGGACTGGCGGTCGGTGCCGGGCTGTTGGCGAACTTGTTTGCCGAATGGCTTGGGTTGGGACCGGTCGCTCCGTTTCTCTTGGCGATCCCCAGCCTTGCCGCATGCGCCTGGTTTGTGCTGTCCGAATGGGGTCAGGAGGATAGGCAAAAAGGCGCCAGTGGAGACAAAAATGGCCCTCTTCTCAACCCTCTAAATGCCCCCAAAATGCAAATGTCAACATGGGCCCGTTTTTGGCGAAGCTGTCTGGATGGACTCCGCTGCTTGCTGTCGGACCGCCGTGTTATGCTTTTAGGTGGCGTTCAGGCGCTTTTCGAAAGCGTCCTCTATATTTTTGTCTTTCTTTGGACTCCTGTGCTGGACCCACACGGCCCGCCATTAGGAATCGTATTTTCCTGTCTGATGGCGGCCAGCATGGCTGGTTCCACGCTTTTCCGGCTGGCCACGTCGGCTCCGTATCGACTCCAACCTGGTCACCTGCTTTGCTTAGCAGTTCTGCTAGCTTTCTTCTCCTTCTTCATGCTGACGTTCTCCACTGTGCCTGGCCAGCCCCGGCCGAGGGAATCTCTGCTTGCCTTTCTTCTGCTAGAACTAGCCTGCGGGCTTTATTTCCCAGCGGTGAGTTTTCTCCAAGGCCGAGTGGTTCCCATGGAGCGCAGAGCCGCCGTGCTGGCGTGGTTTCGTTTGCCTCTTCACCTCCTGGCTTGTCTGGGGCTGCTGGCTCTTCACGGGGAGGTGTCTGGGGCCGGTGCGGGGGAGGCTGGCAGTGGCACCAGACACATGTTTGCAGGATGTGCAGGGATGATGCTGGCCGCTCTGCTTGCTGTGGTCAGCCTTTTCACAGTGGGCAGGAACGATGCCGACCTGAGACTAGAGGGGACCAAATTGGAGGGAGAAATCTGAGTTGTAGAAAGACAGACACTGGATTATGGACTATGGTTTTATATGCTTTGTTTTTTTCTTTATTAAGATTGTCTTAGTTAAACAGTTGCATTTATGGGTTAAATCAGAAGTACATGGTTTCATTTTCCTCTGCTATGTTAATAGAACCAATAAACTGACACTGGATTATGGACTATGGTTTTATATGCTTTGTTTTTTTCTTTATTAAGATTGTCTTAGTTAAACAGTTGTATTTATGGGTTAAATCAGAAGTACATGGTTTCATTTTCCTCTGCTATGTTAATAGAACCAATAAACACCTTAAAATCGGCAGATGTTCTTACATATTTTACAAAAAAAGCAAGAACAGATGTTTGATTTTATGCTTAATAGGAATGTAATGTTGGATTTAATCTTTTTGTCAACTTGTTTTCTTTTAATTAGAAAAGGTTTTGTATTTCCTTTTAGAACTGATTGATCATAGGACTCATTGATCTGAGCTTATTCTTTTTAAGTAAAAAAACAAAAAAAAATTGTAGATAATTTTGGCACTGTTCACTTAAATAAAAACTGAGGTGCATAAGCCCAGATCAGTGAGGTCTACGATCAATCAGTTCTTTAAAAAAAATCAAATCATGTGCTAATTGAAAGAAAGCAAGTTGATAAAAAAATTTTATCCAACATTTGGTAATAACATAACATAATGAAAGATATACAAGCAATATTTTGTAGCCAGGTCATTTTTTTTTACCAGTTTTTTTTTACCAATAATGTAACAATGAAAAACTTTTTTAAAAGTACAAAGATGTTTAAATTTTTGGTGTGAGCAAAGTCAGTAAGTTTTTGCCCAATGCGATAACATTAACTAGCATTTTTGGAGAAAAATAATATCCTTTCTGGGTTAAAATGACCAGAACACAGCAACAGTGTGGTTTAGAATGACGATGAACTGGGTTTAACTGGGTTTTTCACAGTGCGAAAAGCCCTAGAAATGCTCCGCATGCACTGTATTTCTTATGTTAAAAAATATTTAAAAAACAGACTATTATCTATAGCTTGAGCTGCACACAGACCATACAAAGAAGTTAAGGTAAGCATTTTCATTTATTGAAATCGATGGCAACTGAACAAATTAAGGCTCATGAACAAACATCTTAGAAAGCACTGTAAATAGATGCATATTTTAAAGATATAAAAATAAAAATTACAAAATAAAAAAATCTATTGTGAAGTCTAATGACCACAGACATCAATATATTTCTCATGTATTAATTTAACTTCCAGCCATTCCGTTTTAGAGTAGGGATCGCCACTTATCTGAATTTACAACAAACATTCTAGATTTTTGAGGTGCTGAGAAATTAATCTCAGACATTGTACTGTACATTTGTTGTAGTTATAGTATTGAAAATGACTAACAGCAGTACATAAAATTAAATCATATTATGTATTTATGCAGTATTAATGCATCTTCACAGTTGTATATGGCTTGTGTGTGAGGTGGTATAGAACTCTCATAATGTATGCCATTTCTTGTGTTTTTCTTTGTGTTCTTGTGGCAAACATTTAATGGTCTTTCACAGTTTTTTCTAAGTCAAGCTGAGTTTAAATGTATAAGTGAACATTACTGGAAAACTTACAAAGAAAGAAAAACCTATCATTGTCTTTTGTTATAAACGTTTGTTGATTTTTATTATAAGTCAAATTTTTCTGGGTGTGTTTGCTTTCATATTAAATATTGCATTATCTTTTACGCTCAGAACTGGAACTTGACATTCACAGTTCTATACCACCTCCATTTCAAGAACTTTACTCATGTGACTCAGTATACTTTTGACGCCTCTGCTAGTGATAAAATAAAAAGAAAAAATACAATTAAATAGGAAAGAAAATGCTTGAATTGGCAGTCTTATGAGGAACATTGTTCTCTTCAGTGTTTTCGGTTTTTGCATTCTTGGCAAAGTGTAATATTCTGAAAATTGAGGCCTTTAAAGGGGTCATATGATGTTGCTAAAAAGAACATTATT